ACTCAGTTTCAGTCTCAGTTTCAATATGTGTATATAGGTAGCTCGTCGTAGTCAGTAGTTCTTTAGTTCAAACCTCTTGTATCTCCAAGTGAGCAATACCAAGACGTACCTGCTGCCTACTTCCTCTGCGTGATTATTCTTTGTTTGAGTCCTAGTCTCTGCCCAGCGTTAATTCGTTATTGGGTTGTGACATTATCCATCCGGGACCGTTTTACAGAGCCGAGAAGCTCTTTTGCTTTAGATAAAGTGGAGAACAGCCTTTTCTTGCCTTTCAAGCACGAGCGCTGATGCTTGGTGTAAGCGCTCTCCTGTGTGAATTCCCGAGCACAAGTGCATCGGAAAGGTGTTGGACCTGACGATGAATCCATAAAGAGCTACGAGGAGCTGAAAGGACGGTAATAGACATTAATTGTCCCCAGCACTACCGGTAGAAGATCAGTGAAAGAATTCAGCAATACTGGCAACACAACAGACCAAGTTGGCGCCAGCATTGGCCAATGGGTCAACCAGTTTTAGCATCAAGTTCCCACAGGCCAAAAACCTCTGGCGGCAGGTTACACTGGGCCATGGTGCACTGGCAACAGACCAAGTTGGGTGCCAGCATTGGCCACCAGTTTTGGCATCAGGTTCCCACAGGCCAAAAACCTCTGGCGGCAGGTTACGCTGGGCCATGGCGCAAATTATGACGGCAGAAAAGCTGTACCAGCTACTATGATGTAGGTAAAAGCCGCTGTTTCGTTGAAGCAGAAAAGGAAACATACTCTTCTGCACCATTGTGCACAATGGAATCACCATCTTCACCCTCCTCTATCATCACCTCCCCACCTGCCTGTCATGAAACTGCTCAAAAGTTAGCGAGATTGATTACGGAAGCTAAGACTTGCCGTTTCACCCTGTTACACTATGACAGCGCCTCAGAATCAATGATTGAATGGTGTTGGTAAGATGTCACTTGAATCCTGTCGGAATCCTAAGCAATGACACTTGAATAAAGGCCTGCCGATCGTGAGGGAAGGAAGGTTCCGCCATCCGACCTTAAAAAGTACCGCAAAAAATATGATTTTCGATATCCATGTTGCGTATGCGCTGACGGCTGTGGGAGAGGGGCGTACGTAGAGGTGGCAGTGTACCCATGGTGGGATAGAACTACGAAAAACACTTTTTGGACTGCGAGATGTGCCTCTGATCGATGCGGATACCAAGGTCAGTGTTATTCGACGTTCTTCATCAAGAGATCTCGCACTGATAATTGCCTAGTAAAAATAGACGTATATTCCCAGCTGGCACATTTGGCCGCCTTCCGGTACCCGCGAAGAGATACGAACTTGTTGCTGCAAACATACAATTTCATTGATAAGCGATGAAGATCGACGAGTTCCTCCTGTTCAACTGGAGTGGACCCTCAAAGAGCAAACGGAGTTGTTGAACGAACTCGATGCGTCTATTGGCGATGGGATTGGTGAGAGGGAGTTTCGTGTTCTATTCAAGCACTGCAAAAAATGCACGCGAGTCGGAGTAAGGCCAGTGATGAACCACCATATCTGTTCTGGAGGTGTGCAAAAGCGACAAAGACGATCATTGTAGTTACATACAGCCTGGAGAGTGCCAATATGTCTGACCAAAGGGTTTACATCGTTTATAATGAACCTAGGATCAGAGTCTTGAAGGAAAAACGGCCAAAGAAGGTCATCGATGACTTGATCGGAAAAGCACAGACCAGGCAAGCATGGAGATTAATCACCCAGCAACACAAACTAAAGCGGACGAAAAATCAGAATTTGATTTTAAACATGCATTAGACGAGTCACCCTCACTTTGTTACTTCCAATAGTAGTAGTAAGCTCCTTCAAAGAAGGGATGAAAGACTCGTGGACAAATCTCAACATCAGAGTCCAGGAATGTCTTGATACCACACTGCGCCGGAGTGTCAGCCATAAAGATATTACCTCCGTTGGAGTCATACACGAAGAAGACTAGAGAATGTTCCTTGAGATACGGAAAATCAGCGTGACAGTGGCCTGCATTTACTGGGTTTAGAGTCAATAACTATGCCATGGAGGTTAAAAAGCCACTCGACTTCGCCAAGAAGTGTAACGACGGAGGCAACAGCTTATTCTCTGTGATCTCTGCCTGACACCTGTGAATGCTGAAGTTTGTTCTGAGATGTCTACCCTCTTAAAATGTTAGTCTTCACCTTGCAAGGTCATTGCTATGCTGACTGGTGGATTTGACGTCCAAAGGGAAAACATCGTTGTGAGGGCACGGGTTTTTTTCTGAAGAGATCCCAGTTCGGATCCCCTAGATTCAAGCGATTCTTTCAGCCTCTGCTGCGATCAGTTAGCTAAACGACGAGAAGTGACAAAACCTCACGAGCTGAAATCAGCGTAGGATCAATGCTAATCCGGGTCCCTTGCTTGAGGTGCTATCATTCCAGCTTCGTCTGTGCTGAAGGGTGCCGTCCGTCGACATAACTAACCTTAGGCGGGTTGGGTTCAACTGAACGTGGCACAGGATGAGCAGGACAACTAATCACGAATTCGACCGTGTTAGACTTGAACAGAGAAAAGGTGTAGCACTCGCTATAGCTTTATTGATAAATTTATTTGCGCCATGATATGTGCGTGTACATAATCGCGATAAAAGCTAAATGTTTTGTTCATGAAACAGATTATTAAAAAAGGAGGGGTGGTGAGTAGAGTGCCTGGAATGAGAATAAGTTCGAGCTCGTGGTCAAAGGCAACAAGCGAAGGAGAAAGGTGGCTGGACGCGTGCCGGAAACTTCCGCATGTTCCGTTCTCCGGCGCGTTTGCGGTATTATGTATAAAAATCACTCAGATGACGGTCATGGACCTCATATTAAAGTAATAATATCATATATCATACATTTGAGCTGAAAGGATTCAAGATGTTATACACTTGCAAAATAAATTGTGCAAAAGCTTCGAGAATTTGCTGGTTTTGTTTCGTCAAAAGGGCTCTCGTGATACACGATACGATGAGTACCGCCGGCACACCGGCATTTGCTAAAATTTAAACTCCGTGCTTCAACTTGAATTTCGACCAGCCTGACTTCGCCACTCAATTTGATACTTCAAGTTGCCGATGAGCAGTCCCTCCCAGTACTTGTTTCGCACAATAGCTTTTTTCAGGACTTCGGATTGCCTTTCCTTCTGGCTGAGTTTTCGATCCTGTGTACGCCTCTGTTCTCTCGGCTCTATCTGAATCCGATTCCAACATCTTCCTACCAGAATACTTACACTCAGTGATGGCACTCGGAGGTCATTTTGATCTAGGTAGCTTTTTTATTTTTCTTATGTTGAAGTTGTGCGTTAAATTGAAACATGACATACAAGGCGCACTTCTGAGTGTCGTACGGAGGGTGTCCTATACACCCTCATTTGTATCATCCATGGTTCCATATGAGCGAGTCTTCTTTGGTTGACAGTGCTCTTTGCAATGATATTGGAGGCGAGTACTATTTTTCGCATGCTTGTCTTAAAGACAAGGTATGTGCTACTTCACGCGATCCAAACCTTATCTAACAGCAGAATGACACACTCCAGGGCCAGACATCGACACGAAAGCCTGATGAGTTGCATTCTTCCCATATGGAACGCCTTCCCGGACAATAAAGGTCCATGGAAAGCACGTGGTTCAGGCTCACCGATGCAACGGAACTGTACAAAGCTCGACTCCTTCGGATAGATGTGCTCACTTCGCTCCAGTTTAAAAGAAGGGTGACAAGATTTCACCCTCTCCTTATACAGTGAGGGACTATCTTACCAGGCTTAGCAGGTAGAGCCTCCTGTGGATAACAACCCCACGGCTGAGGCTTTGGCCCTTCGCAGACACAAGAAGAACATGTGCCTAGCTCCACACGTAAGGAATACAAAATTCAGCCGAGTGAAATTAAATCTTCCCAGCAGTGCACGGCTCTAACCGTTTCCCGAAATGTCGCGGTGACCTCGCTGCTTCCGTGCAGTACGGCTATTGGGGCTTCAAGACTATGCAAGGCTTTTGGTAAATATCTTTCCTCTATGGGTCGCTGTACTGGGAACTCATGCGCCAGATCATATTTGACGGCCAGTCAAATTTCATTCATCCGTTCTGAATCGCTATACTATGATCTACATTTTGATGGCCAGTCAACTTTCAATCATATGTTCCTATAGTAGGAAGTTCTGTGTATAGAATCTACAGATCACGTTTTGATGGCCACTCACCAGTTCAGTCTCCGCTACAAATAGACGTCATCACACGTAATATTATAATGTGAACACAAAGATACAGTAGCGTTAGCGTATCCCCAATGTCAATTTGTGTTTCACCTTCACAGCTGTTCGACGATTCAGCTTCTCGTATAAACATTATACAAATCTCGAACTCACTAGGCATTGAATTACTCGATGCCTACATAGAACTTGTAGCCATTGACAAGGCCTGTACATGAATTCACGTTTGTTTCCACATCCTAAAGTCTTTCAATCCAGCTTCAACCTGAATTAAAGGTTTTATCGTTTTTGCTCAAAGATTGCGTCTACCCTAGTGATCTTTGGGAAATCGTCGGGGAGCGCATTATAGAAGCGAAACAGGACTCGATGTTACGACAACACTACATCATTTGCAGTGATAGTCGATTCAAGAAAAAGAGACATGTCATGGTAGAACATCTTCTCATGGAGGAGAGGAGGAAATGAGGACAAATGGAGGTGTCTTTGTATAGCCAAGCCCTCGAATACTTGCAGCAGTACTGGTCGCGTGAGCTTCTTCAACTTGGTGCATGAATCAGTAGTCTAAACACTTGCTATAAAGCAGTCCATCATTCTACGTGTCCAGTTAAGCGGGAAGCCAGATGTTCTTCAGCAACTTCAGGTCATCCTGTAGACCGCAGAACCTGGAGTTGTTCAGCAGCTACATGAGAGAAATGTGAAGCATGGTTGAAGAGACGACATGCCTATCCCCTCCGGGATGTTGAACCTTCAATGGAAAACTGCTTATTCATGAACGGAACTGCCCCGCCAATACCTGAACTCGCTACTATGCATGAAGCCAAACGCACATCTGTCATTTTGAGTGTCAGTGCTTCCAAAAATATCCTCAGCTGTTCTCACTCTCTCTGAAGTGCATCGGACCCTCATTGCCCCTGTTGAACATGTGGGTCACTGTTGACATTCAAGAAGCGTTCTACGATGCATTTTGCACAGAACAAGCTTATCAGGCAGGACTGATGGCACGTTTTGTCACCGTTGGCGGCAACTACATCTATCAGCGCAACATCGGATTGGAGGTGCTTATCTTACAGGCCAAGATGCGCCGCGCCAAAGCTGAGATAGAGCTCTATACAGTGGCCATCCAAAATGCCCGTGAATTCGACTTCTCAGACAACACTAGTGGGCTCTCTAGTCATGTTTTCTTCACTTGCTTATGCCTCTGCAGGTGCTTCGTCTTCTCCCAGTATATTTCTTCTACCGCCTCGACCAGACGAATTGTGTTTCTACGACGAGGACCGTGATGATGTGACAGACGACTTTGACGACTTTGAATTTTGAGTAATGATTCATGAAATATCGGTCGTTACTATTCAGTGATTTCATTCTTCATCTAGATATTTATTAAATCATCATATGAACCATTGCTAGTAGTTGTACTATGTTCTACAATTGTACCAGGCCTCCAGTCAGAAACGGCGAGTGTCATGCTTCACGAGCGCGGATTTGTATCTTGAAGTTGCAGTCGCTTGTGTATACACTCATCACGTGCTGGACAAATTGACAAGGTAAAATCTGTTCCCGACGCCCTGGAGCCGTGGAAGCAGTTTGTCATGGGCTCAGCTGGCTGACTGCGAGCCATAATGAACTGATGCCGCTTCAGATCACTATTGATTGACTATTCAAATAGTGACTCTGAGTTGGCTATTTGTACATGTCAGTCTACTGCTCTGATTTCTATCGATTAGTCTTCTGGGTTATTAGTTTCACTGACACCGGTATGTTCTCGCCTTCATTCGGACGTCATGGTGGAGTCCCAAACCTAACACATTTTTCTTGTCTGTCAGCTGATATACCAATCTTTCATCAAGTAATATCAGGTGGCCACCACAAGGATCACGGCACCGCTCGGCGAAGCCACCCATCACGGCGCATGGATATCCCTGAAAACGACAAGACAGAAGTCGTAGTTCTAAAGACTGAGGAAGAATTCGACAAATCTATCGGACGAGTACACACCCATCACAACGACTACACCATAGTACACTTCGTGAACTCCCTGCAAGAAGCAAGGATGAAGGACCAAACAGGAGAGGTGTTCAATTCATCTCGTTTTAGGAGAGGGTGCAGATCTATCTGGCAAAAGCAACTTCAACTTCACGAGAATCAAGGTATGCGCCTGTTGCTTGATGTGTCAGTACTCGCAAGTATGGGAATGCTCATGCCGCATCTAGGGCATGACTAAATACACTCCTTGATCTCCCTCCGTCCTCGAACAAAAAAGCATGTGTCATGCGCATCAGATCGAGAGAATATCTGTTCATCGACAACAAGAGCCATGGATTGCCTTACGACCCCCATTATAAAGACCATCCTGCCCTTCATGTATACCAGGAGCTTGCGCATATTTCTCTAGGGGTGAGACTTAGTACTGTTTACAGAGGCGATTCATTGATCACATTGAACTTAGTGGATGCCTCTTTCTACGATGCTGTCGGAAAAGTAATCAGTGGACAAGCAAGGATTGATCAGGGCCGCCAACAGAGCTAATAGTTGCAGTGGTATGTCTTCTTCTGCAACCTGCTAGCTTTTGGCTGATGTAGGATCGTCCTTAGGATGAAAATGTTCTTTATTGCGAGCGCATTCTTGACTCCAACGATTCATTTGTTCAAACTTTGATCGACTGAGACGATATACACAACCTCTTTGTAACTAATGCTAATGCCTGTGCTAGTCGGCGGTCTGTCACCCCGTGCAGACTAGGGGTGTCAAGATTACCACGCCTGACATCAGTTCACAAAGTGTAAATCTTCGTAGAATCAGCTCTATGGTTGAAGAACTTAGCATCAGTGCGCCGCTCGACATTCTATGTGTCGAAAACGAGGCTGAAAATCGATACTAATTGTACAGGTCTGTCTGAAAAGTTTGAATTCCACACCATGGACTAATCATCTCCATTTTCTCTGGGCCCCATATTCTTCTATTTACTCATCTTCGCCTTCATCTTCGCCTGAGCAAGGCAGTCAGCTTGTTACTAAATGGAGGACACGTCAGACATACTTTGAGCTGGAGAAGGAGCGTTCCACGGAATCTGATAGGGAGGGCAAGTATCAATTCCCTGTGGTGCGTATCTTCCAGCACCTTTGTTCGATAAATTTCTTCCAACCAACGAAGCCTGTACGTTTGGTACATTTCCTCAAGTCTTGCACAGCCTGTTTCTGCAAGTTTCAGTTGTTCTTTGAGCCCGGCTACTGACTCCACCTCCCCTGTTTCACAGGTCTCTACTAGCAGAAGGGGAGCTTTGTTGTCCCCCGTTAATGGATGGTTATCACCAACATCCACCTCGCTATTTTATAATGAGCTTTTGGAATGAACAATGACGCCATTGACGAACTTTAGTACATCGTGACTTGTGAGTTTCTCGCTGCTTTGATGTGCGTTGCACGATAACTCGATTCTAAGTATAGGTGTTCAAGTCAGCGCCGCAAGGGAAGTCAGCAGCTTCTGAATTTACCGTAAATTCAAGTTAATGCTACCAGTATTTTCTTGCAATTTGAATGCCTGACACACCTGCTGTGACATATTCGGCGGACGTATATATTCTGTAGTGCGTGTTTTGTTCTGAAATCCTCCATCCTTACATATATTGTAATTTAATTAGACGGAACGCATGGGCCGGATATCCCGGTCGCCAGTCGATATACTAGCCCATTCTGGGCCGCCATGTGCCAAGAGACTTGGCCGCCACTCAACCATGGCCACTCCCCCAACAGCCAAGAGACTTGGCCGCCACTCAACCATGGCCATACCGCCAACAGCCTTCCCATTTATACCACATACGCTCATGATAAAAGCTTCATTTCGTCTGCCAAGTTTGGACTACGCTTTCCAGCTCTCATGACTGCCGAGGGCACCACTTCCGGAATTCCGAGCAAACGTGGCTCGTCGGCCCTCCAAATGGCCCCCCGAAAAAAAGCGTGAGCTGTTCCAATGCTGTCACAGGTTTTTGTCGACTCATCTTGTCACCACAGCTCCTCATCAGATCTGCTTGTCTCCCATGGACGACATTTTGGTCGAACGGTGTTTGCGCTGTGTAACTACCCTTCCCTACTCACCAATGGCATCTTAAGACTAGAACAAATGGAAAATACTTCACTAGAGGACTTTTCCGCTGAGTAAAAAAATATCTTTCTTCTCGCTCGCTAATTGACACCTTTGGCAGAGAGCGACGAGAACATCGTGTCTTCGAGCAGCTCTTAGATTCTTATCCCGGCCTATTGGAACGATTGACAAATGGTTCTGAGGAGGAAATCCTCCATGTCGGAGAGCTGGTACATCATTCCCTCTATGATCGGACATCTTACTAACAATTCTTAGATAGGTAAGGGAGCCGCAGGCGCAAGAGGCGACGACACGAAAATGTTGAAGTCTGCAGTATTAGATTGGATCGCTCCGAAAGGAGAGGCAATCCAACCTCCTCTGCACAGAAATTCCAAGATCGATCGCGGATTTAATCATGAACTTACAGGCTCCCTGCTTTGTCCCGCCGGATTAGACTGGAACAACTCACAGTAAGTCTCGGTTTGTTGGCATCTGTAGTCCTGACAAGTTTTTTTCCTCATTTTTTGGACACAGGACCAAAGAACACCTTCGAAGCGGAGAACTGTTGGTCTGCGGAGATCAATGGCCTGTTTTTTTGTACGCGCATCACATTTACGATGCTGAAGATCTGTGGTGTGGTCTCCTTCAGAGTCGCTTGCTTGTATGTGTAGGTGTCGTGTCTCTTTTTACTTAATTCATTCATCGCGTTGTATTCTGCCAGGCTTACAAGCACATTTTCACGTCTCTGAGTTCGGTTGACAGGGAACCGAAAGCTACGCGATCCGGAAACGCTCGTCTTCATGGCATGAACTCTGCCACCATCGCATCCATTGCTTATGTTGCAACCCAGGTTCGTCGAGCACCATACTTTTGATATGTAGATGATTTTCAAGTTGACATTGATTGTAGGTCCGATTCGCTCTAACCTCTTCTTCAGTGTTTTCAAGAGCCGACACGACGACAGACTCGGAGACATTTTATCATAGTCTCCTTGACCTCTTGGAAGACCCCGACGAGTCGAAGGAAGTTGATGAACTGCTGATGTGGTGGAATTGGTATGTCCTCATTCTTCATGTCACCGAGCCTCACACATTGTCACGTACCCAGCCAAGTCTTCCCCGCTTCTTCGGCTGCCAAGCGCAACATCACCGCCAACAGTGCACTATCGAAGATCCGACAAAAATGTCTTGCATTGAAACAAACTTTGAATCTGCCCATGGTTTCTACGTAGCCCTTGTTCAAGTATCTTCTTTGTAGTAGATTATCCTATTTAATATCAGCTTGGCTTTTCTTGACTTGTAGCGCTATATTCTAGTGGTAAAAATTTGATTATGGCAATATGTTCCCCTTTATTGTATTGGTCCATGCAAGCAGGTCCTGCAAGGCAAGACCTGCGGTCAACATTCCGCCCCATAATTAAATTATCAAAATGACAAGGTAATGGAAGGTACCGCGCTGTCGTCTTTATGCGAACTTGGGCTCAATGTAACCTGTTCCGAAAACAGTCTGGCATTTGAAACCTTTAGCCGACTCTAGCATCTGGGAACAGTTTGTGGATGATAAAATAACTCACTAACTATACACGCGGTGTCTTGTTACTTAAGGGTCTTATATGAAAGTTGTGTATAATGACAACACAATTATACATGGTGAAGACTTCTTGCCAGTCCTTAAGTCCACGGTCTCCGACTTTTCTACTTCGTGGGAGGTAACGTGGTGAGTTCTTGGGAGGATTTAGTTTGTTGTCCTCTTCTTGTGTAGTCTTATATGAAGTTGTTGTGGAATGTTCTGTGTTCTGGATAAATTCGTTAGGTTTGTTTCAGCCTAGTAGGTCGTGTTTCAACCTATGAAAGTCTGTTTCAACTTTGTCGTCCTTAGATGTGTCTCACTTTCTGTTGAAAGGGAGAGTCTTATGAATACACGTAAAGCTTAGAATGAGAGCTGTTCAATGGTTATATAGTCAACCCCTGTAAGGTAGTATATAACCTAGAGTAGAATAACGATAATGAAAGTTATATAGTCGACCCCTGTAAGGTAGTATATAACTTTAGAATAGATAATGATATCTTAGATTACCTCAAGGCACTTATATTGGCCTGCACTTTAAGTCTTAGTGGTCTCACACAGTTTGAGATAAGAGTCAAGTGGGAGGATTGTATTTCATGGGTGAAAATGGGGTCCTTTTATACCTTTTGGGAACCCCCTTACTAAGCATGATTAATCAGATGGATTGGTAAGAA